CTCTCTCTCTCTCTCTCTCTTTCTTTTTTTTTCTCTCTCTCTCTCTCTCTCTCTCTCTCTCTCTCTCTTTCTCTCTCTCTCTCTCTCTCCCTCCTACTTGTGCCACTCTCTCATGTGAGACCATAACGAAACAACATTCGTTTCTCACAGGGCGTGGTTCTCTAATAGCAGAGTTAGAAACTTATCATTTGTTTGTTCTACAATACATACTTGTTCACATAAAAACTGTCCTCACGTTGTTTTGCATGCTGCTTTGATCCCTATTCTAGTTTAGAGAAACATGAAACAATGTGAATTGTGTCTACGATAGTGTCAGTCAATATGACGCTACTGTGTTCATGTCCATTCAACTTCTCTCATTTCAATTTCTTGCAACATGTTATGTATTGCCTTTCGATGTCGACCTCCTTGTACCATTGCACAAATCTGCACCTGTGTTCAGCATTACCGCTGTCTGTGGGTGTGTTCACGACAAAAAACATGACCACATATGCAAACCATGTGCATTAATTGCCTGCTCTAATTGCCACATCACTATGCACTGCTCTCCCATGAAACTTTGGTGAAACTCTTGTAGTTTGAACAAGCGTGCCCCTATTTGTTTCATCCTGTGCATAGGCGATGGCGAGGTGTGTTCGTGTGTGTATGAGCAGCTTAGTTGGTCAGAAGGAGGTTGAGAACCATTCTCCACCATGTACGTCGTCAGCGCAACTCGAAAATTGAGTCTGCAAGGAAGCTCTTTGAGTATCTTATACGCAAGGTTATCAATGCCTTCTTCCTCCTGTATGTACTCGTCATCGATGTCGAACCACCGCAGTTGCAGAGTTGCTGTATCACGTAGTGTCAGGGTGTTCATTCCAGTTGCCATACAGTCTGTCACGGACGACCGGTTCTCAACCGTTCTCTTCCGTCGTCTCCTTACGATCTCTATCTCTTCGTGCAATGCCAATGACCGGCGTACATGGTTCACCATCTGGGTTGAAGTTTTCCGCTTGTTTGATGACAGGTATAACTGTTTGCAGAACTTCCTGTGGTGATGCTCCCAGACATCTGTCGCGAAGGTGTCGGGGACACCGGATCGCTCAATGCACGTTCTTAGATGCATGAGATCATGCGACTTGGGGAGTTTCCATGTTGATGGTTGATATCTTCCTAGTTTTGTTTTGATGGTCGTTATGAAGTCCATGATCAAATCATCGCATTCATCGAGCGAAGCACGAGTGTGTGTTGTGCACCGAAACACACGTATGTACATTTTCATTATTTTCACAAAACAAATGGTAATGCCCTTGCTTGTCGAGCGTGAAATAATATTAGAAATAAGGAACACGCACACCGCCATCACAGACTGATTTTGCTTGGCCTCAAACCGTCCCTCCCTCGATCGCTCAATCGCTGCCAGTGGCCACGGGCAACACAAGTTGGGGGTATGTTCGGGAGCATCTCTCACTAACGCTTTGCAACCTTGCATCTAGTTCCTTCAGGATCTCTGTGTGTGGTAAGTGTGCCAACTTCTCAAAGGCTGCGGTACTGAATGTGTCAATCATGCGCAAAAACATGCCATGCTCGATTCTGTGCATACGGTCTGGTTGCAATGCCAGGTCGTAGTCTAGATGAGGATCATCACCATTGGGGCCCCTGTTGAATCCCCAAAGGCCGTTTTGTTGAACATGCTTACGAATGTTCATCTGACATTCGTGCTTCAGCCGCACGGCGAATGTTGATGTCATCGGCGTTGAACACATCTGTTGCGAGTTATGTTTCCAGTGTCTGTGATCTCCTGCAGTTCGTGAAATCGGCCACGACATCAAAGTCGTTTTTTGACACGGTGCACGTTGGACACACACAAAATTTCACAGTTGCAATCGCACATCTTTCTGGGTAGATAGGAATGGTAATCCACGTTATGTTATCCCTCTCTCATTGTATTCCGATAAGACACATATAGACGGTCGTCAAAAACAGACAGCGTATCCTCTGATGATGTCACTGGCCGACCATGCATCTGAAGCCACACTGTTGGCCTATCTTCCAGTGCTTCATCGTCGTCCACGTGACAAAGGATGGGGTTTGCAGTCTA